CTTCACATTAGCATTAAATTTTGGAGTGATGCTTCCTAACAAGAATTGATACATACGCCGTGGATAGTTCGAAACCCACTTATAAGGTCCATATATTATTTATTCTCTTATTCCAGCATCACAATTAATTAAGAGGGTGTTTGTTTATAATTTTTTTTAATTTATATTTAATTATATTTAAAATTTAACTCAATTTTTAACGCAACCATATTATCTTCAATATTATCAATATAATTAGATAATATAAACCAAACATTTTTATATAGCACATCTTAATTCACTATTAATCAACTGAAATAATTTTAACTATCACTTCACATCATCTCTCTCATACATTTACATCAAATCAACTTTGTTTTAAATACTATTTTAATATAAAATTAAAATCTCACGAACAACTAATCATACTATATTTTTCAAAATTAACTCCGATTACAAAAAAAACTCATTTTCATCGGATATATTTGTATCCAATCACGCCCTAAGTCGCTATACTAACTAGCAGTTGAATCTGTACATATGCACACATACAAATAAAACATTATAAGTTATATGTATGTATATAATATTTAAACATATACGTTAGATAACACTTTTAAAATTTTAACAAAAATATAAATATAAATTGCATCTTATATATATGAATCGCTCTATTTAAATAAATATTAATATTCTTAGAACTTTTTTTTTTTTGGTAGCCAGCCACGGTATCCGGAGCTATGCTCCGACTAATCCGTTGGTCGACCTGGGTCGCACACCTGACAGTGATGGGTGAATCTCCCAACAAGAGTTTTCTACATCCACAAGGACTTTGACTTAGAACTTTGACTAATGGCGACCAACTAATTGACTTAAAATTATAACAATATCATTATTTATGTGCTTAAAATGTACCGAAATCATGTCAAAAAATTTAAATTGTCAAAAGAAATTGTAGATAGGGATAAATATTTCGTTGCATTGATGATTAAAATAAAAGGAGAAAAATATAATTATTATATTTGTGTAACTGAAAAAAGGCAGAACTACAAAGAGTTCTATGTATGTGTGTGTGTTCAAATAAGAATAAGAGCCGAGCTTTGGGGGCTCTTCCAAGGCTTACAGTTGGCGTGGGACTTGGGACACCGACGAGTGGTCGCGGAGATTGATAGCCTATGCGTGGCAAAAATGGTATGCAACCATGAAGAGATTAGTGGAGCCCATGGTTCGATGATTAATTAGAGCTATTCGGGATTTGATCCAAAGAGAATGGACCGTGAGAATCCAACATGTGCATCGAGAAGCAAATTTCGCAACTGACTTTCTGGCTGGGCTTGCGGCATCTTACCCGATTGGCTTTCAGCGAGTTACCTCCCTCCTAATGGAATGGGTGTTTGGCTAGAGAATGATCTTATAGGGGTATCATACCCTCGTCGAACACTAGCCTAGGCTTCGGCTTCGGCTTCGCCCTCCTTCATTGTACCGAAAAAAAAAAGAATAAGACATAATGTAAGAAGTAAGAGCTCAAATGAGAATGAGACATAATGAAAAAAATAAGAATAACAATGTACCATTAGATCCATCTAATCAACGGTCATGATTAAGTCAAATTTTAATAAGTGACAGTCAAATATGCAGTGACAATCTCGTAAATAGGTGGACATATTGTGGTCGAATGTATATATAACGGTAAATTGATTCTAACAACTAATGAAGGTTTTTACTAAATCAAGAAAGAGTAAATAAAATCAAGGCCAAATTTTCCTAGGGATTATTCTACAAAATATTATCTATTCAATATGTCAATCAAACTTTATTTAATTATACTACTCGTATGGATAATCACTACATTAACTTAACATTTTTCTCGAGCAAACTAAATCGTTGACTAATGGCTATATGTCTCCTCTCGATCTCTAGATGAACAATTGACTCCCCGGGTTCCTAAGATTCTATTTCTTTCGCAAGATTAATTCTATCAACATCTTGATCTATTTAGTCTTCTACATTATTAATTTTTTAATTCTAGCAAGCGAATATCTCTTCTAGGGTCTCAAGTAAATCACAAATATTTATAGATACGGGTTACATATTTACACAATAAATATAAGCACAAAAAATTAACAAACGAATGATAGACCTGAATAAATAAATAAAACTATTCATAAAATAACATGAGTACTCAAAACTCCTAGAATTAAAAAAAAAAGTTTAGTTACTAAATATGTGCTCTTAAAATAAATAAATACACAAGTTTAATGATGAAGAAAAAGATAAAATAAAGAACTATTGTTGCCTTTAGTTCCCAATCTTCAACCATCCTTCATATCCCTCATGCGTCTTGAGCTTTTTCTTGGTCTCCAAAAGTGTTAAAAGTCCACTTGATTATGTTTCTTAGGTCCCGCAGTGTGGGTTCTAATATATATTGAAAAATAGAAAAAAATGTTTAAAAATTTCTAGAGTAATGCTATACAGTCCAATTGGATGACAACTAGTGTTACAACATAAGTGTAAATGCATTATTTTTTAATTTTTTGACAATGCATTTACACTTGGGTTGTAACCCAGGTTGTCAACTAAGTGGGCTAAATAGCATTACTCAAACTCCTAATTCTCATGGGTTGCACTTTACGTCACACGACTTGTATGACTTAATGGTCATAGCCACATGAGTCGTGTTTTTATCAAATTTCACAACTTTTCCAGACTTACACGACTCATATGGCTTAATGTCACATATCACACGAGTCATGTGAAAAAAGACAAAGCTCAATTCGAATTTTCCCTCTGCCACACGACTGTGTAGCTTATAAACCACATCACACGAGTCTTATGACTCCTTGTGCACCTTATCTTTGCTGTTTTTTCCCAATGCTATTTCTAACACTTTTTTCGATATATTTTCTTCAAAAACTAACGTCAAAGAATACTTCCATCATAGATTAATAAATCAAATAAAACGGTGCACAATCCAACAATAAACACGACAAAACATATCAATCTATCACCCAAAATGCATGTAAATGATGCATGTCATATGTCATTTATAAATATATGTTGGAGACTATAGAAAAAATTATTATTTCCATATTCATATTTTTTTACAATTCTAGATTTTTATTTAGCTAATTAACAACAAACCACTCTAATAAAAGATCACATGAGATTATTATAAATTGAAATTAAATTGCAAACTTGATTAACTGTGATGTGATATGCTTCTTTTGGAAGGTGGATGCTTTTCCTTCTTGGCTTAATGATCTTGTATGCAACGATACTCTTTTGATCACTTAATATAAGTTCCTTGTCCAGTAAAAAATAATAAACTTGTATCCAACATCTTATATGATTTTTATTGAATTGTATAGTTTATAATATAAACCATTTTTCTAGCACATAAAAAACACATAATAAGAATATGACTTTATCCAAACTTATTTGAACCTTACTACCTCGATTATTTCTTTAGTCAATTAATAAAATATTACTTTGTAGAAAATGAATTAAGTTGATTTTTAATTATGCCCATCATCACTTCTAATCACATAACAAATTAGTTGTTTGTTTCTCTGTAGTGTTTTAAACTCGTCTTGATTATTTAATCGATCTTGTTTTCATGTTGATAGCATATATGAGCTGCATGCAAACGTGCATGACCCACATGCAAGCCTCATAGCACAAGCTGATAAGAGAAACCGTCCATGTCATCAAAAAGAGAAGAGTGAGCTAGATGAAGACCAAAAGAAAATCAGTCAAAGCAAAAAGAAGAAAGCATGAAGATAAGATGATGGAGAGAAAAGGATAATCGTAGGATCTTGAGCTTAGAACATATAAATACATTGCCTCTTATGGAACCCTAAGGATATGAAACAATGAAAAGCAAATGTACTCTTATTGATGAAAATGGATGATCATACTTTGAGCATGTTTCTTCTTCTCTTTCCATTTTATTTTTCAGATCCATTTATATGTTTCCTATCATGGTATTAAGAGCATTAATGAATCATTGGGACCTGTAACTCACTCGAGATTCACATCCAGATCTCCATTCTTTTTTTTTTTTTTTTTT